CACGGGGTGCAGTAGATCCCACCACTGCCGCCAGTTGTCACGGAGTCCCCGGGCGATGCTCTGGAACTGCTCCCTACGAAGCCAGTCAGGACTCTGGGGCAGTCGCCTTTCTGTGAGCAGCCTGTCTTCAGGACACACAGCTCACACGGCTTCCACCTTCCTGGGTCTCACCTCGGAGCATTCAGCATCCTCTGCCCCTCCGTGCGCTCCCACAGCCAGGCCGCCCAGGTGGGGTCCTGGGGAAGCCAGAGGGTCCTGCACCCCAACTCTGCAGTCAGACGGGACTCTCAGACAGCCAGTAAAACAGAAGGTTTATTAGACCACAGGAACATGGTCTAACACAGAGCTTGTAGGTGCAGAGAACAGGACCCCTCAGCCAGGTCCATTTTGAGGGGCAGTGAGCCAGACAACCAGGTCTGCCCTTCACTCCATGTCCCCAGCCAGCCCCAAACTGCCTCCCCCTCCAGCCCCTCCTCCTCCGGGCTTTGTCCCTTTCCCAGGCTAGGAGGTCACCTGATTCCTTTGGTCTCCAACCCTTTAGCTCTCACCTTGCAGGGGGGAAGGGCCCAGGCCATCAGTGGCCAGGAAAGAGGGTGTTGGCCATTCTCTGTGTCCAGACCTCTGCACACACCTGCCCTCTAGGGCTCTGCAATGATCACACACCCTTATCCCACCACCTAGATACTTAAGAACGGCATAGGGGAAATTGAGGCACCCCCTCACTATTCAGAGGAAACATTAAGAACAGTCCCGCTTCGTCACACCATGGCTGGGGCAATTCCCAGCTCCACTGGGACCCAGAGCTTTCTCTGGCCCCAGGACTCAGAGCTAGAAAAGGTATTTTAGGACTCAATTGTGGAGCCATTTTATATGCATTAGGAATGTAATTCTGGGCTTTTTTTGCCCTCTCAGCCCTGTGGAGCCAGATTCCCGGTGGGGTGGGGGGGGCAGGGGGATTCTGGACTCACTCGCCCATCAGCTTCAACATGGGCAGGATTCACCCAGCTTCCCAGGCCAAGGGACTCAGCCAGGAGCCCAGCCAGCTGGGTAGGAGCTCCTGGACTTTCCAAAGACTTTTTGCCTCTGTGTTTTAACGGGGTGGGAGTGGGTACAGCTCACTTCAGGCTCTGCCATTTGGGATCCATCCCTCCCCCCAGCCCCACCCCCGGGGTCACCCAGCACCATCCCAACCAGCCTCAATGCCAGCGGGCACTTGGCCTCACCACAGCCCACGTGTGCATGGGGGGTGGGGGTCACTGTCTGGGAGGCTATGTGCAGCGGCTCCCCGAATGGTAGGAACCATGAGGAAAGGGAGAGGTAAAAGGACAGTAAATATTGTAATGCCGCTATATAAATCCATGGTTTGCCCGCACCTTGAACACTGTGCGCAGTTCGGGTCGCTCCGTCTTGGAAAAGATCGATTGGAATTGGAAAAGGTGCAGAAAAGAGCAAAAATGCTGAGGGGGGTGGAACAGCTTCCGTAGGAGGAGAGATGAAAGAGACTGGGGCTGTTCAGCTTGGAAAAGGGGCGACGGAGGGGGGATACGATCGAAGGCTATAAGATCCTGACTGGGGTGGAGAAAGTAAATAAGGACGTGTTATTTACCCTTTCACATAACACAAGAACCAGGGGTCACTCAATGAAATTAATAGGCAGCAGATTTAAAACACACATAAGGAAGTATTTCTTCACACAGCGCACAGTCAACCTGTGGAACTCCTTGCCAGAGGATGTTGTGAAGACCAAAGGTATAACTGGATTAAAAAAGAATTAGAGAAGTTCCTGGAGGACAGGCCCATCAATGGCTGTTAGCCCAGATGGTCAGAGACGCAATCTCATAGTATGGGTGTCCCTAGGTCTCTGACTGCCAGACTGGGACTGGAGGACAAGGGTTGGATCACTCAGTAACTGCCCTGCTCTGTTCACTCCCTCTGCAGCGCTTGGCATTTGCCACTATCAGAGACAGGATACTGGGCTCGATGGACCATTGGTCTGGCCCGGGTGGCCATTCTCGGGGGGGGGGGGTGTGTGTGCTATGGACACCCCCCCGCATGTTCATTCAGGCTCCAGCAGCAGTGGCCTGACTGAATCCCATTGGCAGAGCCACGGCCTGTCATTGTGGGGTCTCTCGAGCAGGGAGCTCTCAGCTCTGATGTTGCTGGTCGCCATCTGCGTGACCCCAGGGCCAGGAACGTACTCTGCTCCCTGGCGGGGGTCGGACGGGCTCTGGGGGAGACTGCAACTGGTAACCACTGCACATGGGCCAGTCCCAGAGCGTGACCCTGCCCTGAGCCCTGGCCATGCTTACACACACTCACATTCATGAGAACGGACAAGATGGGGCAGACCAATGTTCCATCAGCCCAGTCTCCTGTCTCCGACAGTGGGCAGAGCTTCCGGGGGAGTGTACAGAACTGGGCAGCTGGAGGGATCCACCCATCTTCCCCTCCTGGCAGCCAGAGGTTTAGAGACACCCCGAGCATGGGGCTGCATCTCTGACCATCCTGGCTAATAGCCATTGCTGGACCTAGTTCTTTTTTTAACCCAGTTATCCTTCTGACCTTCACAGTATCCCCTGGCAGCGAGTTCCACAGGTTGTCTGTGCGCTGGCTGGGTGAAGAATGCTTCCTCTGCTGCTTGGTGGCCTCTGGGGGCTGTTCTGGGAAATGGTAAAGAACAAGTCACAGACTCTTTCCATGTGTAAAACTTCCCAGCTGTACTCTGGGCCTGGATTTGCTCCAAGTCCCCTGGGGCCGTGGGCTCCTGAACCCCCTGCCACGCCCTCTGTGAGGACAAAGGGGGACCTGTCTGTTTGCCAACAAGTGGGCCAACCACTCTGGATCCCTGCCCCAAACTCCCAGGCTGGGGCCGGCATGCAAGCCCTGGCAGCCCTGCCACAGGGAGTCCTCACAGTTCCAGGCTAGCAGGGAGCCAGAGCCAACCCTAGGGTGTCTCTCGCCCTCCCGCATGAGACCTGGCACTAGGGGCAGGGGTGCCTGGGAGCCCTGGGGCACAGAGAACATAGCACTGCCCAGGGGGGATCTGAGCCTGGGGAGACTGTCGCCCTTGTGCCGCTGGGGGTTAGGGCTGACCCCTTCTCCGGGTGCCCCTGTAATTACCTGGGGGTGGCTGGGAGGAGGCAGTGAGAGGCGGCTCCCAGAGCTGCAGCCCCGGGACTGGGGGCGCTGGCCGGCCGGGAGGGCACCGCCTGGGGAGCAGAGCTGGGAGGGGGCACTCCCCGCCCTGGGGCCAGGGGGAGATTTAGGGTTTGGCTGCCCCGGCCCGCGGGTAATGTCATTTCCCCAAGCCGGGAGGCGCTGGGGCTGCGTCTGTGGGCCCGCAGGTCCCGGCTCCTGGGGCAGCTGCAGTCTCTGCTCCAGAGCGGGGATCGCGGCCCGGCCTGGCCCCAGCCCTGCCCCGGGCGGCCCAGCGCCCGTCCAGCCACCCCAAACCGCCAGGCGGGGCCAGGCCGGACCTGAGTCCCGGCCTGTCCCTCTCTGGGCGGCCACAAACCGGACCGCGGCCCCCAGGCCTGGCGGGGCGATTCCCGGTGACTAGCAGGGCTGGCGGGGGGTGAAGAAGGGGGCTGGGGCCGGGAGCCGCGGGCACAGGGCAAACAGCCCCGCGGGAGGGGAACGGTCCTTTGCCGCCGGCGGCCCCGCTCCCGCCCAAGTCCTGAGCTGCCCGAGCCTGGCTGGGCGGGAGGCCGGGACGGACGCAGCCCGAGGCCCGATCCGCAGCCACCCACGAGGGGAGCAATCCCGAGGTCGCCCCCCGGCGCTGCTGCGAGCGGGTCAGAGGGAGCCCCCGGGGCGCGCTCCCGGGCGGGTTAACTCGGCACCAGGCTCCGAGCGCCAACGGCGATTACCTGGGGGGGGAGTTCAGGCCCGGGGGGCAGTGCCCTGCGGCAGCCGAGCTGGGGGGCCGGGCTCTCCGCGGCTCGGGCCCCGCGCCGCGCCTGGCAGTGGCTCTGGCGAGGGGTGGTCCGCGGTTCCTCCCCGCCCGGCGGGCCCCGCAGGAGCGTCCCGCTGGGGCAGGGACGCCGCCGGGGACGCTGGTGGGGCTGCCCGAGCGCAGCGGGAAGGGGCGGCCGCCGCGGGTCCCGCCGAGCCGGGCGGGGAGTTCCCGGCTGAGCCCCGCCGCGTGCGCTGGGATGGCTCTTAGGTGGGGAGCGCGCTGGGGCCCGGCCGCTTTGCCCGAGCGGAGGCGCCGTCCAGTGCCCGGGCCCCGGCCCGGCGCTCCAGCCCCTGCTCGCTCCTCACCACGTCTCTCTGCCCCGGGTCCGGCCCGGCGCTAGCCCCGCTCCGGGGGCGCCGCCGGCTCGCGGCTCTGACCGGGGGAATGGAAACGAGTCCGGCCCTGTTTAAAAGCGCGGAACATCTGGGCCCTGCCCAAAGGCCCGCGGGGGGAGCCGGCACCGCGCGGCGGCCCCCGGGTTCGGCGCAGAACCCAGCCCAGCTCGCGGGCAAGCTGCGCCGGGCCCTTGGGGCCCCCTTCTTGCCAGGGCGGCTCCGGCGGCGATTTGGCCCGTGCCCTCGAGGCTGAGCCCCCCTGGCCCTGCGCGGGCCGCGGGGCGGGCTACAGAGCCGCTCGCGGGGTCCTGGGGGCAGGGATGCGCCCCGCACTCGTTTTGCACAGCAATAAAAGGGGCGGTTCCCCTCCACTCCCTTGGCCACGCCCTCTTTGGGTGAGGCCTGTCAATCACTGCCGGAGGCTGCCAATCAGGGGGCAGGCGCAGGGCTTTTGGCCCCTGCCGATGGAAGGGGCCAGAAGAGCGCGCGCTGCCCCGGGGGCCCAGGCGCTCTCCGGGTACGTGCGGCCGCGCGCGGAGCCCCGCGCTCCGGTGACGTGCGCCCAGGGGGCCCGGGGCCCTGCGCATGGGGCCGGCTCCAGCGGGGGGCCTGCAGCGGGGGCGCCCCGGCGGGGGCGGGCAGGCACTGAGGAGCAAAAGGGGCGGGAGAGCGCGCGGGGAGCCGGGGTGCGGAGCGCGTCCCTCCCCATGGAGCCCTCGGGGCTGGAGCAGGAGGGCCCGGGCCAGACCCACCCGCACCACGAGCCCATCAGCTTCGGCATCGACCAGATCCTGAGCAGCCCGGAGCAGGGCAGCTGCTTGGGGCCGGCCCGCCCGGCGGGGGAGCTGGACTACGCGCTCTACGGGAGCGGCTGCAGCGGCGCCTACAACCCCGCCTGCTCGCTGGGCTCCTACAGCCTCAGCCGGAGCATGAACGTGGCCGCACGGGCCGCGCCGGGGGGCCCCGCGGGGGGGGTGATCCGGGTGCCGGCGCACAGACCTCTGCCCCCAGCGCCCGGGGCGCCCGCCGCGCCCCCGCAGCCGGGGGTCCCCGGCCTCTCCAGCCTCACCTTCCCCTGGATGGAGAGCAGCAGGCGGCTCGCCAAAGACCGGCTTTCAGGTGAGCCCCCGCCCCCCGCCAGCTCCCTGGCCCGGCTGGTAGAGCCCCCTGCCCGGCGGGGAGCGCCAGATCCCCGGGCCCTCTCTCGGGAGCGCTCAGCCAAGGGGCCCGGACGGCCGGGAGACTGGGCCCGATCCCGGCAGGTGCCGAGCGCTCCTCGCTGACATCCCTGGCCCGATCGGGACTCCTGCGGGACTGAGCTGGCCGGCCTGGTGCCGGGAGCGGCCTCTCCGGGACCGGTAACGGGACTGGCCAGCGGCTTCGCGCCCAGCAGCATGAACCCAGGGCGGGGCGGCGGCTGCTCGCCCCGGGGAGATTCCGGCCCAGCACAGGCCTGGCCAGTTCGGTGTCTCGGCCCCGGGGCAGAGTCAGCGCCTCTTCCCGGACACCGCTGCGGGGCCCCCAGAGAACCAGGACAGGGAGAGCGTCCCCTGCCCCACAGTTCGGGAAAGTTCCCCCAGTCCTTGGCCGTGGGCACCCGGACATCCCCCGCTCAGCGGAGCCCTGGCCCTCACACGGCTCGCGGCGGCGGGCGCTGGAGGGGAGATCCAGGCCCGCGGAAGCAGGATTCCCGCTGGAACCGGAGCCGGGCCCCGGGGGGACGCGCTGGGATCTACCCACGAGCCTGCTGAGCGCCCTGAACGCCCCGCCGAGTCCAGCCCGGTGCGCGCCCGGTGACAGCGGGACGGCGCCCGGGGGCCCCGGCTGCGCTCGGGCAGGTGAGACCCGGGTCCCGCCGACTCCGGCTGGCGCTGTGCCAGGGCGCGGCGGGTTCGAACTCTGCTGGCGGCTGCTCCCCGCGCAGCGCCCGGCGTGGGGTCTGAAGGGGCAACCCCGGACCGGGTCTGAGGAGAAACGTCCCCGGATACGCAGGCGACTCGGCACCGGCCCCGGCTCACATCGCTGTTTCCGGACCCGCCCGGTCCTTCCGCCGCCTGCTCCCTGGGGACGGGCAGCCGGGTCCCGCGGCCCCAGGCCGGGCTGGCTGGGCAGGGGGCCAGGGGAGCAGGGCGCAGCCGGAGCCCCGATCCCAGGCCCGTGCCCCAGGCGGCGGGAAGGGGCGGGGGGTCTTGAGGCAGCCTCCGCAGCGCTGCCCCCAGCCCAGCTGCCTCGCGGGGCCCGGCCCGGGCGCTCCCTGGGGCCCGGACCCCCAGGGCTCCGCGCTGTTGCCACGGGGGGTGTGAGTCCTGCCCGTGCGATCGGGGGGTGCGCTGACGGGCAGGCCACCCCCTTGAAGTGAGAAGCCCAGCGCGGGCCCGGGCTAGGCCATGATCCGCGCCCGGGGCGCGCCGAGGCCTCTGGAAAGGCTCCTGGGCTGTGCGCGGCGGCGCGGCTGTGACCGGCCAAGACCGGAGCCCGGGGCCAGCGCTTGGGGACACCGGGCTCCCGAAGCCCGGGATCGGGCCCTTCCCCAGCAGCAAACACAGCCGGGGGGAGAGCAGCTCCGTTGGGGGCCCGTCTGACACCCCCGCCCTTCTGCCAGCCCCTGCCCCCGACGGCGAGCGGCCCGGCGGGTCTGTGCGGCGCTGACCGGCACCCTTGTCCCCCAGCGGGCCGGGCCGCCAGCTACGGAGCATCCCGCGGCGGCGGAACTGGGGGCCGAGTCCCTTGGCTGTGAGCACCCCCTGGACCCCCCGCAGGTCACGGGGCCCAGCCCGGGGTGGAGGGGGCGGAGAAGGGGTTGGGAAGGGTCGGCAGCGTCCGCCAGCAGGACAGGACAGGGCCAGGCCCCGCCCGCCCCGCACACCCCAGGGGTCCCCACCCGGTCCAGCGCTCTTTGGCTGCCGGGGATCCTGTCCCGCCCCCTCATTTTCCACGCCAGCCCTGCGCCGGCACTGGGGAGAGCTGGGGGGTCCCTCCGAGCCTCAACACCAGGGCTTCCCCCTGCGCGCCTTGCGCCCCGCCGGGGCTCCCCCTGCCCACCCAGCCATGCGCCCCAGGCCCCCCCGCAGCTGATGGGTCTGGTGATGTGCAGGGGCGATGGCGCCTGCTGGGGATTGCGAGGGCAGGCGCTGTGAGCACCACCCCGGACGCCTGGGTTCTGTGCCCAGCCACGGGAAGGTCAGTCTGTCCATCTGCTCTCGGCGCACCCCCGGGAGCCTCTGGCCCTTAGCGGGACGCAGAGCAGCCGGTTCCTGCCCGGGGTGTTGATCGCTCCAGCGGGCCCATCCCGGCGCCTGTCCCTGAAGGACCTCCCTTGGCGGGCCGGCAGAAGCTGGCGGCCCCGGGGCTCCCCCGGCCTGGGGAGGGTGTTTGGCCCCGTTGAGGGGCGGAAAGGCCTTTTCCAAGGGCAGGGTTGGGGCTCTTGACCTGGCGGCTGGGGGCGGGTGTCTCGTCCCACTGCCCCCGGGGCCCGGGCCGGGGCCGGAGTGCAGCGGGGCTGTTTCTCCCTGGGTTGGAGCCGGTTCTTAGCTCTTGGGGCGGGGAGTCCGTGTCCCCCTGTGACGATGTGACTCAGCAGGGAGGGGGAGTGTTGACCTGGGAATGTGCCCTGGGGATGGGAGACCTGAGAGCCTGTCACCTGAGCCAGGAGGGGAGGGGGAGGTGACACCTCTGCCCAGGAATGTGAACAGAGGCTGCAGCAGGGAACCTGCGGGGTGAGTTTAGTGGGCAGTTTGGAGGCTGGGGGAGGAACACAGGGAACCCCAGGGCTGGGGTCTAAGCTCCCTGCTCCCCCAGAAGGACGTGATTGAGGGGGTCCTGGTTGTACCCACAAGCTCTGTTGTGGACTGTGTTCCTGTTGTCCAATAAACCTTCTGTTTTACTGGCTGGCTGAGAGTCTCAGTGGATCCCAGGAAGAGGGGTGCAGGGCCTGGACTCCCCCACACTCCGTGACAACTGGTGGCAGCGGTGGGATCTACTGCACCCCGTGAACGGCGCTTCCTGCAGTAAGTGACTGGGGAACAGTAAAACGAAGGGGAATTGACGGGGACCAGGCGTGCTGAAGATTCAGAGACGGTTTCGGGGGGCGGTTAACCCCTGGGAATGTGTGACCAGAGAGAAAGACTTTTGCAGTAACAGGGTCCCCGGGGGATTGCAGCGAGCAGTCCCAGGGGCGGAGGAGTCTGCAGCTCGACCCTGGCAAAGAGGTGGTGACCTCAAGAAGGACTGGCACACTAAGGGCTTTTCCTGGAAACCGTGGGAAGCTGCCCGGCCTGCGAGTGGCCAGCAGGGAGATGTACGCTAAACGCCTTAAGAGTGACCTGGTGGAGCTGTGCAGGCAGAGGGGGCTGCGCATCGGGAGGTCCACCAAGGAACAACTGATTGCCCAGTTGGAGGAGAGGGATCGCTTGGATGACCCGATAGACGCAGCGTGGGCCCTGGGGCCTGACCGGGCTGGGAGGGGTCAGACTGCTGCCGAGGACATCCCGAGACCCTTCCTACCTATGTCTGGGGGAGGGGTTGGGGGAAGCCCAGCGAATACCGAGGGCACCCTGACCCCAGCACCCAGCAGGGGATCCTCCCGGCGGAGCTCCCCATCCCTGGAGCGGAGGCGGCTGGAATGGGAGAGGGAGATGAAAATGAGGGAGCTGGAGGATCATGAAAAACAACGTCAACATGAGCAGGAGGAGAAGGAGAAACAACGTCAACATGAGCGTCAGGAGAAGGAGAGGGAGCGCCAGGAGAAGGAGAAACAAAGACAGCACGAACTGGAGCTGGCCAGGCTGAAGAGCAGTGGGGCCCCGGCTGTGGTGAGTGAGGGGGGACCCAAGACTGCAAGGAACTTTGATAAGTGCTTCCTGGCCCAGCGTAAGGAGGGGGAGGACATAGATAGCTTCCTGACGGCCTTTGAGAATGCCTGTGAGCTGCACAGGGTTGACCCTGCAGACAGGCTCCAGTTTCTCACCCCCTTACTGGACCCCAAAGCCGTGGAGGTGTACAGCCGGATGACAGGGCCGGAGGCAGGGGACTATGAACTGTTCAAACAGGCCCTGCTCCGTGAGTTTGGGCTGACCCCGAGATGTACCGGAGAAGGTTCCGGAGTCAGCGTAAAACGCCTGAGGTCACCTACCTACAACTGGCCAACCGGATGCAGGGGTATGCCCGCAAGTGGACAGCGGGGGCCCGAGCTAAAGAGGACCTGCTTGACCTAATTGTACTGGAGCAACTGTATGAACAGTGCCCTTCCGACCTGAGGCTGTGGTTGGTGGACAAAAGCTCGAGAACCCCCAGCACGCAGGGCAGCTGGCCGACGAGTTTGTGAACAGTCGGTCAGGGGGTAGCCGGGAGGAGTCCCAAAAGAACAGGCCCCCCGATGCAGAGAGAGAGTCACCAGGGGGCCTCCCAGCGGGGAAATAGGGAGAACCCCCTCCCAAGGGGAACGCCTGGCGTCGGGCCCCTCCGACCCGCTCGAGGGGACCAACGTGACCTGAGCTGCTATCACTGTGGCCAGAGAGGCCACGTACGGTCCCAGTGCCCTGGGCTCAGGGACAAACTGAGCAGACCCAACCTACCCAGGGTTAACTGGGTAGGGACCCAGCTGGACGAGGGGCAGACGACCCAGGCAAGGGGGCTACCAGTTTACCACCTGCCCCGGAGGGAAGAGTACCCCAGGCCAGCTCCACCAGAGGGCTGGAGGCTCTGGACTCAGGGCGCTCAGTTTACAGGGTGGGCGCGGGGCTGTCCCTCCGGAGAGAGTGCCTTGTTCCCCTGGAGGTGGATGGGAGGAAGGTCAATGGATACTGGGATACGGGTGCGGAGGTGACGCTGGCCCGGCCGAGGTGGTGGCCCCAGATCGGGTGGTGCCCAACACCTACCTGACCCTGACAGGGGTGGGTGGGACCCCATTTAAGGTGCCCGTGGCAAGGGTACACCTGAAATGGGGGGCCAAGGAGGGCCACAAGGATGTGGGGGTACACCACCATTTGCCCACTGAAGTTTTGATGGGGGGAGACCTAGAGGACTGGCCAAGCAAGCCCCAGACCGCCCTGGTTGTGACCCGTAGCCAGAGCCGGCGAGGGCCACTGCTCCCTGACCTCGGGGAGGGTACCGCACCGGAGGCGCAGGACCCTACCCTGGTGGGAAGGGAGGGCCGAGGGCACGGCTCAGAGAGGCTGAGGCCTCAGACCTGGCCACTGAGGGGGAACCGGTCCCCATCCCTTCCCCAGCTGCTGAGTTCCAGGCCGAGGTTGAGGAAAGATCCCTCCTTGCGGAAGCTCAGGGACCTGGCCGACCTCAGGGTGGTACGGACCATGAGCAGAGGCTGCCAGGAGAGGTTCCTGTGGGAGAAGGGGTTCCTATACCGAGAATGGGCTCCCACAAGGAAGTAGAGTCCTGTGGGATCAGGAGGCAGCTGGTGGTCCCCCAGAAGTATGCCGCAAGCTCCTGTTCCTGGCCCATGACATCCCCCTCGCAGGGCACCAGGGAATCCGGCGCACCCGGCAGAGGTTGCTACAGAACTTTTACTGGCCCGGGGTCTTTCCACGGTCCGGCAGTATTGCGATCCTGTGACCCCTGTCAGAGGGTGGGGAAGGCCCGGGACAAGGGGAAAGCGGCTTTGAGACCTTTGCCCATCATAGAGGAGCCTTTCCAGAAGGTGGCCATGGACATCGTGGGGCCTCTCAGCAGGACGACCCGGTCGGGGAAGAAATACATTCTGGTGGTGGTAGATTTTGCCACCCGCTACCCCGAGGCAGTGCCCTTAGCTTCCATTGAAGCAGACACCGTGGCCGATGCGCTCCTGACCATTTTCAGCCGAGTGGGGTTCCCCAAGGAAGTCTTGACAGACCAAGGCTCCAACTTCATGTCGGCCCTGCTCCGGTGCTTGTGGGAGAAATGTGGGGTCCGGCACGACTGGGCCTCAGCTTATCACCCCCAGTCCAACGGGCTGGTGGAGAGGTTTAACGGGACGCTAAAGATGATGCTGAAAACCTTTATGAACCAGCACCCACAGGATTGGGACAAGTACTTACCTCACCTGCTGTTCGCGTACAGGGAGGTGCCACAGGAGTCTACCGGATTTTCGCCTTTCGAACTGTTATATGGAAGGAGGGTGAGGGGCCCCCTGGACCTGATGAGAGACGAGTGGGAGGGGAAGGCCACTCCCGATGGAGAGTCAGTGGTGGAGTATGTCCTGATCTTCCGAGAGAGACTTGCTGAACTCATGGGCCTGGCCAGGGAGAATCTGGCCAGAGCCCAGAAGAAGCAGAAGGTCTGGTATGACCGCACGGCAAGGGCCCGTGCCTACGCCACCGGGGATCCGGTGATGGTTCTCATCCCAGTGAGAAAGAACAAACTACAGGCCGCCTGGGAGGGCCTTTCAAGGTCGTCAAGCAGCTCAATGAGGTAAACTATGTGGTGGAGCTGTCGAACCGGGCGCACCACCGCCGGGTGTACCATGTGAATATGATGAAGCCATATTATGCCAGGGGGAATGTGGTGTTGGCCGTGTGTGGACAGTGGGAAGAGCAGGGAGATGACCCTTTAGTAGATCTATTCCCTGGGACTAGAGCTGGTTCCCCCCTGAAACAATCCCCCTCTCGGATCAGCTAACCCCTGCCCAGCAAGATGAGGTCAGGGAGGTGCTGCATCCGTACCGACAGCTGTTTTCCAACCAGCCTGGACGCACTAATCTGACTGTCCACCGGGTGCAGACAGGGTCGCACCCGCCGATAAGATGCTCCCCTTCCGAGTCACAGGGAAAACTGCTCAGGACCTGGAAAAGAGGTCCGGGACATGCTGGCTTTGGGGGTGATCCAGCCATCTGCCAGCCCTTGGGCCTCGCCGGTGGTGCTGGTCCCCAAAAAGGACGGGTCGGTCCGGTTCTGTGTGGACTATCGGAAGCTCAATGCCATCACAGTATCTGATGCCTACCCCATGCCCAGGCCTGATGAGCTCCTAGACAAGCTGGGAGGAGCTCGGTACCTCACCACCATGGACCTTACAAAGGGCTACTGGCAAGTGCCGCTGGATGCAGAGGCCCGGCTGAAATCGGCCTTTATCACCCCTCTGGGGCTCTATGAGTTCCTGACCCTGCCTTTCGGCCTCAAGGGAGCGCCGGCCACCTTCCAGCGCCTAGTGGACCAGCTCCTGAGGGGGATGGAGAGTTTTGCCGTGGCGTATATTGATGACATCTGTGTCTTTAGCCAGACCTGGGAGGACCACGTGTCCCAGGTTAGACAAGTGCTGGACCGACTCCAGGGGCTGGGCTGACTGTAAAGCGGAGAAGTGCAAGGTGGGGATGGCGGAAGTGTCTTACCTGGGCCATCGGGTGGGGAGCGGCCGCCTAAAGCCGGAACCAGCCAAGGTGGAGGTGATCAGAGACTGGCCCGCTCCCCACACCAAAAAGCAGGTCCAAGCCTTTATTGGGATGGCAGGATACTACCGAAGATTTGTGCCTCACTTTAGCGCCATAGCCACCCCCATCACTGAGCTATGCAAGAAGGGAAGCCAGACAAGGTGGTCTGGACCGAGCAGTGCCAGGAGGCTTTCCGGGCGCTGAAGGAGGCTCTGGTCAGTGGCCCAGTTCTGGCAAACCCAGACTTTGACAAGCCCTTTGTGGTGTTCACCGACGCCTCCGACACGGGACTGGGGGCGGTGTTAATGCAGGAGGATGAAAAGGGGGAGAGACACCCCATCGTGTACCTGAGCAAGAAGTTGCTACCCCGGGAGCAACACTACGCGGCCATCGAGAAGGAGTGCCTGGCCATGGTGTGGGCCCTCAAGAAACTAGAGCCCTATCTCTTCGGGCGGCACTTCACCGTGTACACCGACCACTCGCCCTGACCTGGCTGCACCAGATGAAAGGAGCCAACGCCAAGCTCCTGAGATGGAGCCTGCTCCTGCAGGATTACGACATGGACGTGGTCCACGTGAAGGGAAGTGCCAACCTGATAGCGGATGCGCTGTCCCGGAGAGGGGGCCCGAACTTCCCCAGGTCACTGGTCACAGTGACCCCGCTCAGTTCAGTTCGAAGGGGGAGAGATGTGACGATGTGACTCAGCAGGGAGGGGGAGTGTTGACCTGGGAATGTGCCCTGGGGATGGGAGACCTGAGAGCCTGTCACCTGAGCCAGGAGGGGGAGGGGGAGGTGACACCTCTGCCCAGGAATGTGAACAGAGGCTGCAGCAGGGAACCTGCGGGGTGAGTTTAGTGGGCAGTTTGGAGGCTGGGGGAGGAACACAGGGAACCCCAGGGCTGGGGTCTAAGCTCCTGCTCCCCCAGAAGGACGTGATTGAGGGGTCCTGGTTGTACCCACAAGCTCTGTTGTGGACTGTGTTCCTGTTGTCCAATAAACCTTCTGTTTTACTGGCTGGCTGAGAGTCTCAGTGGATCCCAGGAAGAGGGGTGCAGGGCCTGGACTCCCCCACACTCCGTGACACCCCCTCCGGCCCCAAGGCTGGGAGTGGGCAGGGGGCGATGATGAGGACGGGTTGCCAACCCTCCAGGATTGGCCGGGAGTCGCCAGGACTAAAGCTGATGTCGTGTGATGGAACCTTCAGGAATGCGGCCAACCACAGTTGGCAGCCCTAGGTGAGGGCAGGCGGCCTGGCCAGGCCGGGGCCGGGGGGAGCCAGGGCTGGGCCCCTGGAGAGCTGGGCGCTGTCATGCTCCCAGGGTGCCCCCGGCTCAGGGATGGGCTTCAGCCCTACCGGTGAGGTGGCGAGGAGCCCGCGCATGCTGGGCCGTGGCTGGCGGGTGGGATGGGGCTGGCCCCTCCCCGGCGTAGCTGCCATGCCTGGGGCCACTCTCGGCTGCGTCTGCAACCCGCCTCCGAGCCCCGGCCAGCGTCTGGATGGCTGAGCTGCAGCGAGGGGCTGCCCAGCCATGTGGGGGTCCCTACCCAGCCGGGGGGCTCCTGCCTGGGTGGAGTCTGTTTCCTGTGCAGCGAATCGGGGGGGAGGAGGGGGGACGGTTCCCAAAGCCAGACCTGCCAGGCTGTGGCCCTGAGCCGTGGGTAGCAAGGGGGTGGAGGTGCCAGGCTGCCCAGTGGGTCCACAGCATTCCCCCAGCCCTGGGGGCTCTGTCGCCCTTGCCATGTGCAGCTGGTGCAGTGATGCCATGGTCTGGTGGGGACACCCAGTGCCTGGGATCAGAGTCCGGAGCCTGGCTCCCGGGCAGCTCCGCCTGGTGCTTCGGCCCAGATGCCAGCAGGGGCCCAGCAAGGACGCAGCTCGGCCCGCTATGTCCGGTGCCTGGCCCTCTGGCCCCCTGCGCAGTGCTGGCCGCAGGAATGCTGGGTGGGCCGGCAGGCAGCGGGCCCCAGCCATTCCTAGGCCAGCTGGAGGAGCTGATGTGCCCCAGCAGGAGACCAGCCCCCCAGCGCCCATCGCGCCCAGGGGCGTGGGCCTGAGTGAGAGGTGAGGGCAGTACCCAGGCCTGACCTCCTGCCTCCCCTTTGCCTGCAGCTGCCCTGTCCCCGTTCACGGTGACGCGGCGCATCGGGCACCCCTACCAGAACCGCACCCCCCCCAAGAGGAAGAAGCCGCGCACGTCCTTCAGCCGAGTGCAGATCTGTGAGCTGGAGAAGCGCTTCCACCGGCAGAAGTACCTGGCCTCGGCCGAGCGGGCCACCCTGGCCAAGGCCCTCAAGATGACGGACGCCCAGGTGAAGACCTGGTTCCAGAACCGCCGCACCAAATGGAGGTAACACAGGCTGCAGCTCAGGGCTGGGCCCTGCCCCGCCCAGCCAGGCCAGCCCGGGCCCAGTGCGGGCGACCAACACCTCCAGCACAGCCTCCCTCGCAGCTAGGGGCAAAGGAGCCCCCCTGCTGGGGAGAGGCCGGGCTGGATTCCTGGGAGCTCCCCCCACAGCCAGCCCCTCTGCCCCACCCCCACAGCGCCCCCTGCTGGGAGAGGCCGGGGCTGGGTTCCTGGGAGCTCCCCCCACAGCCAGCCCCTCTGCCCCACCCCCACAGCGCCCCCTGCTGGGAGAGGCCGGGGCTGGATTCCTGGGAGCTCCCCCCACAGCCAGCCCCTCTGCCCCACCCCCACAGCGCCCCCTGCTGGGAGAGGCCGGGGCTGGATTCCTGGGAGCTCCCCCCACAGCCAGCCCCTCTGCCCCACCCCCACAGCGCCCCCTGCTGGGAGAGGCCGGGCTGGATTCCTGGGAGCTCCCCCCAGAGCCAGGGCTCCTGTTTTGTCAGGGCAGAGTGGAGTTAGACACATGCACTGTGCTGGGGCAGGATGGGGCAAGGGGTTGAGGAGCTGGCATGGGGCAGGGGCGCGTAGCTGAGGGGCCGGCCTGGGGCAGGGCAGGGAGGGGTGGGGGCGTGTAGCTGAGGGGCCGGCCCGGGGCGGGGCTGGCCCGGGGAGGGGGGGGGGCGCGTAGCCGAGGGGCTGGCCCGGGGCGGGGCAGTGTGGGGAGGGGCAGGGGCGTGTAGCTGAGGGGCCGGCCCGGGGCGGGGCGGTGTGGGGAGGGGCAGGGGCGCGTAGCTGAGGGGCTGGCCCGGGGCGGGGCAGGGTGGGGAGGGGCAGGGGCGTGTAGCTGAGGGGCCGGCCCAGGGCGGGGAGGGCGGGGGCGGGGGCGTGTAGCTGAGGGGCCGGCCCAGGGCGGGGCGGTGTGGGGAGGGGCGGGGGCGCGTAGCTGAGGGGTCGGTCCGGGGCGGGGCGGTGTGGGGAGGGGCGGGGGCGTGTAGCTGAGGGGCCGGCCCGGGGCGGGGCGGGGTGGGGAGGGGCGGGGGCGCGTAGCCGAGGGGCCGGCCCGGGGCGGGGCTGGCCCGGGGAGGGGCGGGGGCGCGTAGCCGAGGGGCCGGCCCGGGGCGGGGCGGTGTGGGGAGGGGCGGGGGCGCGTAGCCGAGGGGCCGGCCCGGGGCGGGGCTGGCCCGGGGAGGGGCGGGGGCGCGTAGCCGAGGGGCCGGCCCGGGGAGGGGCAGGGCGTGGAGGGGCGGGGGCGCGTAGCCGAGGGGCCGGCCCGGGGCGGGGAGGGGGTCGAGGTGCAGGCAGCCACTCATGCGGCTCTGCCCACGCCCCGCAGGAGGCAGACGGCGGAGGAGCGCGAGGCCGAGCGCCAGCAGGCCAACCGGCTGATGCTGCACCTGCAGCAGGAGGCCTTCCAGAAGAGCCTGAGCCAGCCGCTGCCGCAGGACCCGCTCTGCATGCACAACTCCTCCCTCTGCGCCCTGCAGAACCTGCAGCCCTGGGCCGAGGACAAGAAGGTCACGTCCGTCTCAGGGGTGGCATCAGTGGTGTGAGGCCCCCACGCTGCCCCTTGGAGCAGGGGGGAGAGACCTGTCTGCACATCCCCACGGAGGCTGCGGGGTGGCTGGGGCTGAGGCCGGACCCTCCTTGCCTGCAGCAGATGCAGACCCCTGGGGCATGGGCTGCTGCCCCCAGGGACCATGATGCCAGTGCGCTCCCTGCTGTGAGCCTGCCCTGGCTGGGGTCTGCCCGGCCTCAGCACCCACGGGGGAGCAAGGAGCCCCAGACACACACCCCACCCCCCGGCAAGCCAGTCCCGGCTGACTGACTCAAAGGCTCTGCCTACAGCTGACTTAGTGACCTATACTGCCAGTAAAGGGTTAAAGTCTGTGGTTAATGGAGACCTAGATCCCATCCGCAAGGGCCCTCCCCATGGGAGCTGGGCCCCTGTACCTGGCTGGGGCTCTCCAGGGCAATACGTGGCCCTTCCCCCCTCACTGCCAGGGGTACAGCCACCCTGACACCTCAGGGCCTGCCCAGAGCTGCCCCAGTATCAGCGAGGCCCAGCCCCCACTTTTCTGTTAGGACTGGAGGCTCCCAGCCTTTGCAGCTCCGCCTGGCTGTGCTGCTGAGGCCCAGGGATGGAGGGGACAGCCCCCCATGGGGAGAAGTGGGAGGGGGCCTTGCCCTGGGGCCCACAGGGAGCTGGAGGGTGAATGGTGCCCTGGGGCCAGCTCATCACAGAGTGAGCATGGAGCTGCGGGGTCAGCCTGGGGCAGCGCCATGTCCATCCAGCCCGGGGTCCTGTCTGCGGGCAGTGGCTGGTGCCAGAGGATGAGGAGAGCAGCGGGGGCTTGGAGCAGAACCACATGGGATCTGACTTGAGCCGGAGCAGAGCTTTCAGAGAACTGCCCACACTTGAGTTCAGCTTGGTCAGGGATGGAGAATCCACCATGACCCCAGGGAAACGGTCCTGTGCTTATTTTCCTCTCTTAACAAATTCCACCTTCTTTCCAGGCTCAGATAGTCTGGCTTCAGCTTCCAGCCTTGGATCTGTCTGACCAGAGCGAAGAGGGTTTTGTTTCCAAATTTACGTTCCGCACGTAAGAATGTGCAGGCTGGGATCAAGTCACCCCCGAACCTTCCCGTTGAGCCCCTGGAGTGTGTCACTCCAGGGCAGGTTTCTCATCTCCTCTGACCCTGCTCCAATCTAGCCACGTCCTTCGGGCACCGGATCCCAGCAGCAGCCGCCCCAGGGCCGGATACAGAAGGAAAATCACCTCTCTGCTGCTGCTGGAGATTCCCGTTTACACATCCCAGGATCGCGTTAGCTCTTCCTGGCTGCAGCGTGGCAGGGGGAGCTCATGTTCAGCCTGATCCCCCCCGCCCCCATCTCTGTTCCCGCCGTCGGAGCCCCCGCCCCGCAGGACGGCCTGCACTGTCTGCTCCTAGATGGGACTTCACGCTGGGTTGAACTGACTGACACATGGTTTGCTTGTGCCCAGCTTGATCGGGGGTGGGGTCGGCCTGCTCTGTCCTGGGCCTCCCCATGCTGATCTCCCTCCCCATCCATCAGGGCTGATCAGCCCTTGCCCTGGGCGTGGCGGGAGCTAGGTGCCTGGTCTTCAACTGGAAAGTCCGGTGGAAAAGGGGACCTGGTCAGATCTACTGACAGACACCCAAAGTCCGGTTACTGCGAGCACGGAGGCGCTGGGTTATCACCTGCATCCGCGCCATCTCAGCAAGGGCCGCCTCCTACCTGCCTCGCCCGGCTCCGGAGACAAGTCCCTCCGGAGTGGGAGGGGGCGGGAGGGAGGAGATCAGTGAGAGACAGGAGCAGGGGGAAGAGGAGCAAATGGGGGCGGGGCCTTGGGGAGGGGCGGGGCCTCAGGGGAAGAGGCCGTGTGAGGGAGGTTCCAGCACTCCTGCTGAAGTGGCTGGTTTTAAAGATTGCAAAGTTGGGATCACTACGGGGGTGTCCTCTTGCCTTTTTCCTCCCGACCCCTGGGCAGGGCCCAGAGAACAAAGTCTGTCCTAGATGGGGTGACCAGATGTCCCGATTTTATAGGGACAGTCCCGATATTCAGGGCTTTGTCTTATGTAGGTGCCTATGCTCCCCCCACCACCACATCTGGTCATCCTCATCCTAGATGGGAACGGCCCCTTGCCCCCTCCCACCTCTCCCCGCACCCCGAAGCACTGACTCCTCCACCCATGTGATTGGCGCTGGGTTTGGGCAGGCTGCGGCCGTCATGCTGACCACCTGCTGCTGTCTGGGGCTGCTGTGTGGGGGGCATAGGCCCAGCCAGCCAGACGCCCTGGGGCCATGAGGAGTGGCAGGCTGCACTGAGAGCTGTCAGGGTCCCACACTGTCTATGTGCTATGCCCCCTGTATGCCGGACCCCTAAGGGATCCCACTCTTCCTTCAGGGTGGGCCACGTGGCCTCCCCACCTCCTAGACTGATCCTCTGGTCTCCAGCCCTCCTGTTTCACGCCGGGAGCTCTGCCTGGCCAGGCCAGCTGAGAGACTCCAGGGCAGAGGCGTGCCCATGCCGCAGGGACCCGTGTGTGACAAAGTGGGAATTTTTTGTAATAATTTTATGAAACCTCTGTGTGCCTCAGTTTCCCCCTATACTTTGCAGGGCTCCCCAGTGCAGGGGTCGGGGGGAGGGTTACGTTTGCTCTCTGCGCAGGCTGAGAGACATGGCACGGCTGGGGGGGAGGTGTCTCCGTCCTGCCTGGGTAGAACGAGCAGAGTCATTAAGGAGCAGACTGAAATTGAACCAGAGCCACAGAGACAATGCCAGGTCCAGTGACTTATCTACTGGTCACTCCAGCCAGGAGATTGTGAACTCAGCCTGGTCCTGCCTGGAGAACAAAGCCTAGATGTGCCCAGCTGTGATTAATGAAGGTTTTGGGGGCTGGAGGAAGCTAGTTCTCTACTGGGACTGACTGAGGGGGTCAGAGCCAGCCTGGCAATGGAGTCCCAGCAGCTGGGCTGGTGAATTGCTCTGGGCTGCCCAGGCCAGACGCTGCGTTACCCGCTCTGTCTCTGCGCTGACTCAAGGGCTGCCCACGCTGGGGCCAGGTGACTCATGAACCCGGCTCTGTTTGGGAAACGCTGTTGGGGAGTCACTGTGAATCCTGGCTGGGGGCACGAGTCCTGCAGCATGGACACGCCTCTGCCAAGGAGTCTCTCTCAGCTGGCCTGGCCGAGCTCTCGGGGGGCAGCAGGAGGGCTGCTGGCACCCAGAGGCTCAGTCTAGGAGCCAGGGAGGCTGCAGAGCCTGCCCCAAAGGGAGAGTGGAACCCTCGGGGGGCTGCCCCACTGAAGGGTTCCCCCAAGGGACTGTTGAAAAGTTAGGTCATGGAACATACGAATGTAAGAATAGCCATAGTGGGTCAGACCAATGGTCCTTCCAGCCCAGTGTCCTGTCTTCCGACAGTGGCCAATGCCAGATCCTGCAGAAGGAATGAACAGAACAGGGCATTTATCCAGTTATCCATCCTCCATCGTCCAGTGCTCGTCTCAGGCAGTCAGAGATTTCGGGACATCCAGAGCATGGGGCTGTATCCCTGACCATCTTGGCTAACAGCCATTGGTGGACTGATCCACCATGGACTTAACTAGCTCTTTTTTGAACCCAGTGAAACTTTTGGCCTTCACAACATCCCCTGGCTACAAGCTCCGCAGATTGACTGTGCACAGTGTGAAGAAATACTTCCTTGTGTTTGTTTTAAACTTGCTGCCTAGTAATTTCATTGGGTGACCCCTTGTTCTTGTGTTATGTAAAGGGGTAAACAACACTTCCTTATTCACTTTCTCCACGCCATTCACGATTTTATAGACCTCGATCACATCCCCCCTTGGTCACCTCTTTTTCCAAGCTGAAAAGTCCCAGTCTGATTAATCTCTCCTCATACGGAAGCTGTTCCATACCCCTAATCATTTTTGTTGCCCTTTTCTGAACCTTTTCCAATTCCAGTATATCTTTTTTGAGATGGGACGACCACATCTGCACGCAGCATTCAAGCTGTGGGTGTACCAGGGATTTATATAGAGGTAACATGGTATTTTTTGTCTTATTATTTATCCCTTTCCTAGTGGTTCCTAACACTCTGTTCGGTTTTTTGATGGCCGCTGCACACTGAGTGGCTGTTTTCAGAGAACTCTCCACAACGTCTCCAAGATAGGGAGCCCAGACTGGGACTGTCCCGAGTTTTAGTTCTTTGTCCCGTGTCCCGACCGATGCATGGGGTCAGGACGCCATTTGTCCTGATATTGCGGCTTTGGCCGCTCTGGCCGCTGTTTGTTTGTTTTTTTTCCGCTTCCCCCATGTGTCCCGATATTTTGTCTGTTTCGTCTGGTCATCCTACTCCAAGATCTCTTTCTTGAGTGGTAACAGCTAATTTAGACCCCTCCATTGTATATGTATAGCTGGGGTTGTGTTTTCCAGTGTGCATTACTTTGCATTTATCAACATTGAATTTCATCTGCCATTTGCCAGTTTACGGAGATCCCTTTTGTAGCTCTTTATAGTCTGCTTTGGACTTAACTATCTTGAGTAGTTTTGTATCATCTGCAAATTTTGCCACCTCACTGTTCACCCCTTTTTCCAGATCATTTAGGAATATATTGAATCGGAGTGGGCTCAGTATAGACCCCTGGGGACACCACTATTTACCTCTCTCCATTCTGAGAACTGACCTTTTATTCCTACCCTTTGTTTCCTGTCTTTTAACCAGTTACTGATATGTGAGAGGACCTTCCCCTTTGTCCCATGACAGCTTACTTTGCTTAAGAGCCTTTGGTGAGGGACCTTGTCAAAGACTTTCTGAAAGTCCAGGTAGGCTATATCCACTGGATCTCCCTTGTCCACATGTTGACCCCTTATAATTCTAGTAGATTGGTGAGGCATGACTTCCCTTTACGAAAGCCATATTGATTCTTCCCCAACAATTCATATTTATCTATGTGTCTGACAATTCTATTCTTTACTACAGTTTCAGCCAATTTGCCTGGTACTGAAGTTAGGCTTACCAGCCTGTAATTGCCAGGATCGCCTCTGGATCCTTTTTCAAAAATTGCCATCACATTAGCTGTCCTCCAGTCATCTGGTACAGAAGCTGATTTAAGCAGTAGGTTACATTCTGTGACGAAGCGGGACTGTTCTTAATATTTCCTTTGAATAGTGTGGGGTGCCTCAGTTTCCCCTAGGCAATTCTTAAGTATCTAGGTGGTGGGATAAGGGTTTATGATCGTTGCAGAGCCCTAGAGAGCAGGTGTGTGCAGGAGTCTGGACACAGAGAATGGCCAACACCCTGTTTCCTGGCAACTGATGGCCTGGGCCCTTCCCCCCTGCAAGGTGAGAGCTAAAGGGTTGGAGAACAAAGGAATCCGGTGCCCTCCTGGCCCGGGAAAGGGACAAAGCCCAGAGGGGGGGGGCGGGGGCTGGAGGGAGTTTCAGTTTGGGGCTGGCTGGGGACATGGAGTGAAGTGCAGACGTGGTTGTCTGGCTCACTGGCCCCCAAAATGGACCCAGCTGAGAGGTCCTGTTCTCTGCACCTACAAGCTCTGTGTTAGAACATGTTCCTGTCATCTAATAAACCTCTGTTTTACTGGCTGGCTGAGAGTCACGTCTGACTGCGGAGTTATGGGGCAGGACCCCCTTGCTTCCCCAGGACCCCGCCTGGGCGGACTCACTGTGGGAAGCGCACGGAGGGGCAGAGGATGCTGAATGCTCCGAGGTCAGACCCAGGAAGGTGGAAGTTGTGTGAGCTGTGTGTCCTGCAGACAGGCTGCTCACAGAAAGGAGACTTTCCCAGAGTCCTAACCGGCTTCGTAGGGAGCAGTTCCAGAGCATCGCCCAGGGACTCCATGACAACTGGTGGCAGCGGTGGGATGTACTGCACCTCATGGATGGCGCTTCCTACAGTGACTGGGGAGCAGTAAAACAAAGGGGGATTGACGAGGACCAGGTGTGCTGAAGGCTCAGAGAGGAGCGGTTTCGGGGGGGTGGTTAACCCCTGGGAGTGTGTGACCAGCGAGAAGGACTGTGCAGTAATGGGGTCCCCTTGGGGACTGTGGTGAGCAGTCTCAGGGGCAGAGGAGCCTGCGGCTTGGCCCTGGGAGAGAGAAGGACTTTTGCAGTAACAGGGTCCCCCAGGGGATTGCAGCGAGCGGTCCAAGGGGCGGACGAGTCTGCCGCTTGACCCTGGCAAAGAGGGGGTGACCTCAAGAAGGGCTGGCACACTAGGGTTTCTCCCTGGAAACCGTGGGGAGTTGAGAACACACAGGCCTGTGAGTCCACAACAACTTGGGAGGAGCGGAGTGATGGCCTGTCACCGTCTCCTTAAGAAGGACATTGTAACCCTGTGCAGAAAGAGAGGGTTGAGCATTGGAAAGTTCACCAAAGCACAGTTCATCGTGCAGCTGGAGGAGGATGACCGCTCTCAGGGACAGATTCCTGACCCCAAATGGGGCTATAGCAGGATCTGGGAGCAGCTGGAGTGGTAGCCAGGCATCCCCAAGACTCCTGTCCCTGGCCAGACGGGGGTCTTCACGATCAGGTTCCCCATCCGGGGATCGGAGATGGACGGGATTGGAGCTGAGTGCGAGAGAGCAAGAGGACTGTGAGAGACAGCGAGAGCCCGAGAAAGAGCTGCAGAAGCAGCAGCAGCATGAACTGGCGGTGGTGGGGCGGAGAGGCCTAGGGGACCTCCCCGGGCTGAGTGGGGATAGACCCCAGGGGGCCAGTTCCGCAGGGAACCTCGAG